GTAGAAATATCGGATATGCAGGTGGGAAATCTGTAAAACGATACGATTTTAGAAGCTACGGCCTACTACGTAATTTTATTCATTGTTTAAATAACGCTGCATAAGCGTAACAAAATTATATCTGAGATTAAGATTGATGGGACATCACAGCCTACTAAAAAAACTTCGAATCATTGTGTAACATGGTTACATAAAAATGCTCGATCAAGATTATCAAATCTGTACAAGAACTTCAAACTTATACAGAATATCCTGGAATGTATAGAACAATTCTGTCATTGTCATTATTAAAAATGATACCTATGCTATACCCTATTCGTAGTGCATTTACGCCTTGGCACAACAATGTTGCAGCGCGACAAAGCGGCAGCCGCCTAATCATTGCAATAGATATTGGTCATTCGACCATAAACCTACGAAAAAGTGCAGGATTCGACAGGATAGAACTCAGGCTCGGAGTAATACCGGCACGCCGACGCCGGCAGCTGCTGTTCATATTCGGTGCACATATAGCATGTGTTTATACGTTAGCATGTCGTCTACGGATACAGCAGATGAAACTGAGAACATTTCTCCTAATGCTTCCTTCGGACATGCTTCCTATTCAGTGATGTCTCCTCCCCGAAAACGTGACAAGAAGGGACGTTTGAATATTCAGACAAAAGAAATTGTCCCTAACATTTATAAGAGCGAAATTTTAGAGCATCCTGAAATGAAAATTCATTATATTAAAAGACGTGTGGCGAACAAAACAGGCGTATGTCCTAAGACAAGTTTCAACATTGTTAAAGAATATAAATAAAAATAAAAAATTGTCTGCACCACACAAGAGGCTGCATTACACGAAGCTGTTGGATGCAGTTGATAGCTTTGATCGGAATGCCATCAGACGCAAAGTTCATCAATTTTTCGAAAGGCAGGAACTTCCCATCATAGACAAAGTATTACAGTAGCTTAATAGTGATGAAGACTAACCTACTTTCAAAAGAACCACATTCTATAGTTTACTCAAAGAACTTCATTTTGAGTGTAGAAAACGGGGCAGAAATAGTATTTTGATGGACAGCCAAGAGATTATTTTATGGAGAAGAAATTGTTTAAAATCAATAAAAAATACCCCGACCAGGGCAGGAAGATCCATTACTTGGATGAAACCTGGATAAATACAGTACATACAAAACCTAAAGTATGGGATGACTCTACAGTTAAATCAGCAAGACAAGCCTTGTTCAATCGACTAAGCACTGGCCTAAAGAATCCGTCAGGTATGTGTATCTAACCAATTCGTGAATTGTATTGTAAAAATGGTGTCAAGTAGACTAATGGCCAATTTCACCAACATAATATTTGACGGTCAGTTGGACCAATAGGAAAAAACCTTATCGAAATGCAATTTGAATGAAATCGTGAAAATACGACTGTATTATAAACAAGACCTCTTTTTGATTCCAACATGATGCTTTCGTACAGAAAAAACAGGACAACTTTCATGTATTTTGATATATGTTATAGGTTTACATTTAACAATCCGTTATCCCCCTCAGCGAATGGGAATGTGGCAAATAATAGGTCGATTTTCTAGCTGTTAAATTTGGCAGCAGATTTGGACGTTTGTTAATGCATGGCACTCTCGAATTTACCAACTTCAATATACTGAAAGTTATCATTACATACCTGTTGAATAGTGTGGATTTGTCTGTATTTTGCAAGAAAATAGAATATAAAATACATTCCATCCAATTCCTCATCTTCCTTTACGTCATAATAGTAATCATTTATTAATTTATGGGTTAATGAATTTCTTCAAATCAATAAAAACATTATGTCCCCTCCATCCTAAAACACAATATGTGTAAGACGTGTCAATCCCTACATCTCCCTGATGCATAATGCAATTATTACTATGAACATAGACAAAACATTATGAAAAATGTTTCACAGATAATGGCTTTTAAGTCCAAAAATCAAAAAAACTAGTAATGTTTATTGTTTGTTTATTTTTCTTTTTTGACTGGCAGCTGGCGGGGATATCTATCTGACACTCGCAGGGTTGCCAAGTCTAACGACGATCACTCCCCGTGGTGGAGGGTGCGAAATGAATCTTTTAAATTTGCTGGTTTTGAATTTTTTTCGTGAAAATTTACTAGGTATCATGATTATAAGCATCTTTGGTAGATTGTTCGATCCGGAATGGGAAAGATCTCCTATTTATGAAAATATTTTTGGTGTCATCTAACCGTTGCAATCAGTGCAGAAACACTGTGACATATGATTTATAGCATAACCCGCTGCCCTATCAATACAAATTTAACATACAGGTCGCCTAGCCGTGGGGATGCAGTGGTCGGGATGAATATCACGGCAGCAACTGATGATCTGGGCATGTCTGGTAACAACGTATGAAGTGAAACTCGCTAACTTCACAAATTTGAAGATTTTGTACAATTTCCTCGAAAATGATGAAAGATATGTCTGATTTGGCAGGGTAATGCGCAGCCAAATGGCAGTCACTCTTTCTGACACAGTCCAGATCGAAAGATGACGATACTCGTGAAATGTATTGATACTTCTAAATTTAGGATCGTATCGAACATCCCTACTGTCAGATGTATAACCCAGGGTACCGACGGAGCTATATTGCGCGTCATGTAAATAATTTTAAATTTACATTTGCATTTTTTCAAGTGTTGTGCATTGATTTTGGGAAAAATGTCACGAATAGTCTTATAAAGCATAGTAGAGTATATTTCAACAGTTGGCGGAACTTACTCCACTGGAACCAGGAGGGTGAAACGGGATATTAATGCACAATCTGGCAACCCTGTCGCACCCTCACAAAATGGCCGCTGATAACCCACATAAGTCACGATGTTGTCATTGAATAGCATGGAATTGACAGATCCCACACATGTGTCACTCCTTGAAATGCAATAATCAGCTGAATTCAAATAATGTCTAATATAAATATAACCTATAATGTGTACTCGTGAAAAAAGAAAAATATGGCAAATTTGTAGTTTTTTCGCAGGTTTTAGGTTTGCTGGTAACTTTAAGGCATATATTTGGGAATTTCTTAATCTCTGTGACTATAGTGTGGATGTTTGTTCAGTTCCTGAACAACGAAAAATATTCAACTTTATGGATGTATGGATATCAAAAAACCTGAATGGTTTTGTGGGAATATCAATCTAAGGTGCCATAATGGTTCTGATGAACGGCAAGTAAATGAATGAATGTTTGGGAACGAGCAATATCTTTTGGTAGAGCCTGTCATCAAGTAGCTGCTTAATGGCTATCTGCAAGAGGTTTATAAGAAAAAAAAAACCAGTATCACATATCAATTGAAGAAAATAATATAAACATAAAAAATCAACAATAGTAATTAAAACATGAATTTAATTTTAAGAAATCAAACATTTCTTAAAATTTTGACTGAATTATATGTAATTTCTTAATATTCAATAAGCTGGTGAGGTTTCAATGACAAGTTGTCATCTCATACTTTGACAGTATTTTGTTTTCAACATTTCATAGCTATTGGTTGCTAAAATTTGTTGATTGGAACTTGAAGCTCATTCGCTGTATTTGACGGTCTGTTACCCTATAGGTGGAGAATAACGGACTGTTGTTGGTGAAGTTGGCCCTAATAAATCTATGAGCCCACGCTTAAAACTTAGCAACACTGAACTTAGCTATATCTCATACATTTGGGACCAATACTTCTTAGATACTCTGCTTGTATTGTTATTAGTTTTCTTGAATAATATTTATAACTATTTCCAGGAACAGGAAAACGATTTGTTATCTGTCACTTTGGCAGTGAAGATTTTGTGCCCACTGACCTATGAGCATTTGAGTCAAAGAAAACGACCGACTACCCTGAAGAAATGGATGGGAGTTCATTTGAACGATGGTTTGAACAACTTCTACCAAAGCTTGACGACAAGGCGTCATTGTATTTCATAATGCTGCATACCACACTAGAAAACTAGAAAAAATTCCCACAATGTCCACAAGAAAGGCGAAAATTCAACAACGGCTCCTATCAAAATACATTAGTTTCAATGAAAATATGGTCAGAGCAGAACTCATCCATCTAGGCAGGCAGCACAGATATAAATATAATCTTAAAGTAATTGACGAAATGGCTAAAAACCGAAAATAAGGCCTTATCACTGCCAATTAAATCCCATTGAAATGATTTAGGCAAATATAAAAAACTATGTGCCTTCAAACAATAGAACATTCAAATTTTCTGACGTGAAAACTTTGTTTTATGAAGCTGTCAACAGAGTGACGGCAAACCATTGGAAAGATTGCATCCGTCACGTTCAAGAGTCAATCGAAACAAAGATATGGGATCTGGACAATATGATAGATATTCAAATTGAACCTGTAGTAATTAATATTAATCATTCGGACGGTGATTCAAGTACTCCCAGCGAATAAAGAATTGTGAAAAGTATGTGCACTTCTTTCTATATAAATAATCATTTATTTTGTTAGATTATTCGAAGAGCATTGTGGAAGGTACGGACCTGTACAATCTCGCTTTTGGGCATGTTGTGTTTTGTCTGGGCGTAAGTGGACTAAGAATGGGATACAGTTGAACAATATCTACCTACTGCATATTTACGGCGCTTACAGTAAATTCGGCATTAGCGACAGTTTCTGTACTTGCTCGACAATGTATATCTCTCTTGCACACATCGAACGAAGCACCGCAATTACTTTTTCCCGATACTGTCTACTACATTTTTAACCTGAAAAGTAAAAAGTTAAGCTTAACATGTGCATACTGTATGTTCGTGTCGTTCAAAACTTTGTATGAAATTTATGTATATCAGGGTAAGTAGGGTAAAGTCGGGTATATTGTACCGGTCTTTAATTTGTACCACCTCAATATTTCCTGAACTATAGAACTCTAACGCCATCTATTTACCTTGTTTGATAGCCCCTGGCGCCAAAACGTATCTAACGAACTCTTGCAACTGACGGTCGTTCGTGTATCTAGTTATTTGGTGTTTTGTGAAACAAGTCCTCACGCAGTAAGTATTATACAATCTTAGATAAGCTCTTATGTCCAAATAATCAGTTTCTGCTAAGTGCCGTTATATTTTTCGTAGTTATTGAACATTTTATAAGATCTTTATTGAGTTAAGTTTTACCTAACCTCACTTTTAAAAAGAAGTAAGAATATTTATGTTATTCATACCAGTTCGGTAATTTGTACCACTGGCTGGTTTGCTAATTTGTACCGGTACAATTTAACAAACTCTTGTATTATTTTCCAGTCATGCCTCGCAAGGGCTTAACATATGGAAAATGGAGCGAAGAAAACATGAAGAAAGCAATAAAACTGTACAAAACGGGAGAATTTGGACTTAATGCGATCTGCAAGAGATATCAGATTCCAAAGCCAACGTTCAAGAGGCATTTGTTAGGGACAAATGTCAAAGCAAAGGAAGGACTGAAATCACTAGGTAGGGTCCAAGTATTCAGCACCGAAGTAGAGCAGGGGCTAGAAAATCAAATCCTGAAAATGGAAGAAATTTTCTTTGGACTCACCATTAAAGATATTAGAAGAGCTGCCTATCAGTTTGCAGAGAAGAATGGAATAAAACATAATTTCAACAAAGTGAAGGGGACAGCCGGTAAAGCATGGTTTTATAATTTCATGAAAAGGCATCCAAAGCTTTCTTTAAGGCAGCCGGAATCAACATCGCTAGCTAGGTGCAAGGGATTTAACAGACAGAATGTCAATCACTTTTTGATATTTTAGAGAAGTTAGTTGATCAGTATAAAATAGACGCGACAAGGATTTACAACGTAGATGAGTCTGGGTTTTCTACAGTTCAGAAAAAATGCCAAAAAATAATTGCTAAAAAAGGAAAGAAAAACGTTGGGGCAGTGGCCAGCGGGGAACGGGGAGTGAATACCACGTTCATAGTATCCACCAATGCAGCAGGAAACTTTGTAGCGCCTATGATAATTTTTAAAAGAAAAAGAATGATGCCAGAACTTGCAGAAGGTGCCACTCCAGGCTGCTTAGTTCAAATTTCAGACACAGGATATATTAACTCTGAATTATTCGTGGTTTGGCTACATAAATTTATTGAAGTGGTGAAGCCAAAGCCCACCCCCGAAGATAGAGTGATCCTAGTTCTGGATGGGCACACGACACACTCCAAGAACCTGGAGGCAATCAACTTGGCTCGACAACATGGTGTAATTCTCCTACAATTGCCAGGGCATACCACAAATCGGCTTCAACCACTAGACGTTGCAATATTTAAGCCAATGGAGGTCTACTACGATCAGGCAGTTGAACGGTGGATGCGAGAACATCCAGGATTATCAGTGACACAACATCAGGTTGCTAAACTCTTAGGAGAGGCATATGGAAAATCTGCAACTGTTGGCTTTGCAATAAATGGATTTGCGAAGACTGGAGTATGGCCTGTGAATAGACATGTTTTTACTGATGTAGATTTTGCAGCAAGCGATGTTTTAGTCAATAATTCATCTCAGTTACCCATAGGAAAGAATAAAAACCAAATTGGACATGATGAAGACGATTCTTCTGACGACGATATCCCTCTGTCTAAGCTAATGTCAAAAGACGGTGCTCCAAATATTAACTCTGAAGGAAACAGCTGCTTTCCAGGATCTGGCGATTGGGGGAATAGACGAATAGATTCTTAAAATGCTCAACAGCAAAAAAATGTAGATCTCCCAAATATCTCATTTGATGAGATCATTTGCTTGGCAGGGACTAGCGGATTGGGAAACAAACCACGGATCAACAAAAATGCCCAACAGGCTGCAGTGCTTACAAGCACCCCATATAAGGACGAGTTAGAAAATAGGAAAAAAACCGTGCTTAATGAAAAAAAAGGTGCAGTGAAAGGGCAGTACTGTCAGACTTACATGAAAATTCCAAAGAAAAAATGACAGCCAAGACAAGATATATGAAATCCAGAAATTCTTGTTCCCCCACTAAAGCAGATGAGGTGACTAATGCTGTTATAGAGTCAAATGCTGATGACTGGTTTTGCATCATCTGCCAGGAATGCACAATTGGGTGCACGAAAGCTGTGATTCATTTCCCAGCCGAAATCGGTATATTTGTGACCTGTGTGCCTAAGATTCCTGTAGAGGAGTTCAACAAATAAACATTTTAATTTATTTTGAGTTATTTTGCTAGAGTTATGTTTTATTTCAACTTTGTTCCTTATTTGTGAACTCTTTGATGTAAGTTCATAATTACATGTATAATTATAATAATACACTGTCTTGCTTTATGGCTATACCAACCTGTTCCACTAACAATGAAAATCTTATGGATTTTGCCATGGTACAATTTAAAACCCCCGTGGTACAACTTAGCGAACCGGTTCGATAAATTGTACCGTTTACAACATTTTTTTAAAATGCATCTTATTTTAAGCTCTGAGCATTCACATCAATCTAAAGTTGCGAATTTTGACAGACACATGCCATATTACCTTACTTCGAAGTTTCGCTCAATACAAACAAGTCATCAAGGGGTTATTTCTTAAAATACGTTAGGTGGTACAATATACCCGACTTTACCCTATTTAATTGAAATATACATCTTTGCTTTCCGTGTCTGTAACGACGACCAACCGCAGACAACGCTGTTTCGTGCCCATCAGCAACAACTGGTTTGCCAAGTTGATCTTCATCCTCATCCCATACGGTGAAAGATGGCAGAATACCCCTATGCTACCGGCTCTTACACTGCTCGACAATCTGCGCAAAGCACAGATAGATGCCGCACCATCAGAGATTGTGGGCACACTCTTTCTAACATACATGTTGCACGTTTATGCACAATGAATACCGTCCACCACAATCATAAATGAGTCACACAGTTGTATATGTATATAAAACCATTGTTGGTCTGCTCTGAATATTTGGTATTTCAGCTTCTAGATGAGTCGACCGTGTTGGTGGAGCGACATCTATCTATATATACGCAGAACGTCGAGCTGTACTGCGCCAGTACCGTGGGGGTCTTCTTTCATCGTGTGGGCTAAGGATGAAGATCAACTTGTCGAAACATTGCTCAGGTTTTTCACCTACCTCCTAATAGCTATTTGATGCTGCTTTGCTATTAAAAGATATTAACGCGAGATTGTTAGTATGTTATGTATGTCTGTTACTGTCTGTAAGAAAAATCTTTGAACTGAATTCTGAACCAGTTAACCTCAACCAGTTGGACTGAAATTTTCAGCACATGTTTGGGTTGCGTGACAATACAAAATAAATTAACTGCCGCCATATTGAATCCAATTTGGCGGATGCTACAAAATGGCGAGTCATCATATCCTTGGTAATCCCTACGAAATCAGTATCAAATGAAACGACTTGAGAGAAGCGCAATCAGCAAAGTGAAGTCATACTAAATTTGATATGGCAAATAAACACAATAAGCCTAGTGACGTCATCTTACGTCCAGTATAGCGGCTTACGCAAAATGGAGAATTGAATTTCTCAAAGTCATCCATATGATATGAGTATCAACTATAAGGGCGTGACCAAGGGCGGATTCAGGATTTCCTCTAGGAGGGGGGGGGGAGGGGGGCGCAAACGATATTTGGGGCTGGTCATTTTTTAACCTCAGTGGAATTTCTAAAATTTATCTTATTATTGCTCCTTAAATCCATTGTGTTCTATCTGGTCAAGGCCAGCTTGAAAAAAAAACATGGAAATTGCTCTGAAATCCTCAGAAAGCCAATATTCTATTACATATATATGAGAACAAAATAAGTATGTGGCATTTATAATTAACTAGTGTAATAATATTAAAGATTCAAACATAAAAAACTTCACTGCTCTGTTAACCGACAAAAAATAAATAAAACATTTTGAGGGACTCCGAGACATAACCCAGTCCATTCCACACAAAACAGTATCTTTGATTGCGAAAACGAACAAGAGACCAAAAAATTAACTTTATCGTATAGACGCTAGACAAGACAAAGAAGCATGTCTGCATGCAGACCATCTATAAATCGTGTCTTGAGACCGTCTCCAGACTCCCTATAGACAAATTGCGCAATGGGGTCTACTAGTATGTAATAAGCTTAAGGATTAAGACTCTGAACTGCCCATTAAACAAATCAAGTAAATGGTGCAAATACTGACACAATCAAGCACTTCTATTATATCAGCAGAATGAGGCATGTATTCCTCTATTCCGAAGTGGATAATTTCGGTTATCGAAGAACAGACAGCCGACGCATCCGCGTCAGTAAAACAGACATTTCTCCAAGGAAAGGAAGAGAAGGAGTCTCTGAGCCCCTCCCAGTCTGTAATGCCAACCTTTGCGGCCTGCGTGAGTTTCTGCTGAAACACCGGGTTCTGACCGAAACCTAACCTCCACAAAACAGTGTTCTGAGTTACCCAGGGGAGACAGGACAGCAGAGCTGTAAGGGACAGGATGCGTGGTCAGAAAGAGATCCAGCAGGATACTGGCATGTGACGAGACGCGGGGCAAAAAACTAGGACCCGTCACCAGCTAGGTCAGCCCTTGAGTAAGAGCAAACGCTTTAACTGCACGACCTGCTGCATCGGTCTTGTTTGAGCCCAACCAAAGCAAATTATGGTCATTGATATTAACTACCTCTGAGTGATTGATGTTCAGGAAGTCGATCTTGACAGCGAGGTATTCAAGAAGGTCATCCCAGTTATGGTTCGAGGGGAGTAATATAGGCAGAAAATAAATTTGGGGGATGTTTTGGAGTTGAGGCGAAGCCACAGAATGTCCTTCCGGTCTGATTCCAGAGAAACATCTCTGCAGCAGGAAAGATTGCTGCGGACAAAGGCCACAACTCCCCCGTTCTTTGTCAGATTGGAGTGCACCTCGTAATTTGGTAAGCTAAGATGGTTAATCGGTGCGGACTCTGAGATTTTTGTCTCCGCCAAGAAAAGTACTGCGGGACGATTGGATTGCAAGTAGTGATGAACAGCATCAATGTTGCAGTTAATCCCGCAGATGTTCGTGAAACAAATGTCATCTTCAATGTTGTTCCCTCTAGTCCACCCTCCACATTCTGAGAGTGGAATGAGCTTACATCCGGAATTCTTAGTACTCGAGGGATCCATCATCATTAATTTCTTTGTTTGGAAGATAACCGACTGCATAGCTTGGGTGTGGAAACATGCGGACATTTATAAGACACCCTGGAACAAGCTATAGGATAGTATCGCCTCGGCCGACTGATCCTTGTCTGCCACGTTCTTTTTGCGTGTACCGCCACCCGGCAATCGGTACTAAGGTATTCCTTAACGCGTGTACTATCATTTGTACGGGAAGAAGTTGTATGCTGGATACAACAACTTCCGGAACAAGCATTTGCCACGGCTCCGCTCAGTAGGGGTTGGGGTTTTTGAAATTCAATACAGGTTTTACAGTTATTTTTCAGACTTTCGTTATCGAACTTAGATTAGATTAGATAGTTGTTTTCTCAGTTTTCGAACCGGTGAAAAAACTATATCTGTAAGATAGTAATTATTTTGGTAATGTATGTTTGTATTAAACAAGTACAGGAATACAGAGCTGTACTTATACGTATAGTGCAGCAGCTCTGTGATTTAAACGAATTCAATATAGCAACATAAATAGACACATACATACGCGAGAAGAGATGCGGGACGTGTGGTATTGATTTTGAGCATCGATCGACGCAGTTTCCAGACAGGCCACACGCGCACCGCTAAACAAATCTCATAAATCTCTATTTCCAATTTAGGCATTCATCTGACATAGTGTTTCGCTGCAACACCAACTCCGAACAAAATCAGTCAAGCTTTACACACTTTTCAAATTACTATTGAGCAACAAACAGAACATAAATCGCTTTTAAGGGCAATCTGTATAGCTAATATATTACCCAGACTTAGATTTGTCACAAGTCATAATACTCGTATATACGTATAAATCGTAAGAGTTGTGCTGTAAACAAGTCATGTCAAAAAGGGACAGCATTTGGAATACCAAAGGTTACCAAAAAATCATAATGTTCAGTTCCTATAGCTATAACTTATAGTTAGTATGCCTCCGTCACCATGATGTGACAGAAAGTAACACAATGGTGTTAGATTGCAAAAGCAAATGTCAAATGTCTAGGGGGGGTGCGCGCCCCCCGCGCCCCCCTCTAAATCCGCCAGTGGGTGTGACGGGGAAACTGCAATAAGCAAAGCTAAGTCATTCTATATCCATCGATTTATGCTCTTGTTTGGCTGACTTGACCCAATCGATATTTTGATATATGCTTTGGTAGTTAGCTTGGGCTGAACATGATTTTTGTTGAATTGATGCCTGCATTGCGAGGGAAGTGCAGAGTCAATCTACCTGGCGCCATTTTTTCATCAACAGCCCCATACAAACTATAACCGTTTGATTGATATTGAACCGAACGTCTGTATGTCACGTTCCAACGGCAAAAATCTGAACGCCAAAAAGACGAAATTTCGGACACGCGCAATTACGGCGCGCATGAAAAATGCAAAAGCAATAATCTGTACATTGGTGTTCTGATGGAGTGATAAACCATCCTGGCCTTGCAAAAACCGTTCGTTCACAGCCAACTCTGCATCCGGTCCGACTTAATTGATACTAACGAACGCTGTGCGCCAGATGAGATTTTAATCCGACACGCGGCAAACAAAACGATAAAATCGAAGCTGTGTTTTGTATACACGTAGTTCGATACACAAATTCTAACCGGAAGCGATATAGCCCAACATGTTCAAGCGATCTTTAGTAGGTACGCATATTTTCCCGGACCAAAAGCATTGTCGTAACAGTATAATCAGAAGTATAAAACTGAATAAATACGAAGTAAATATGAGCTCTCATTCAAAGTTATCTTTATGAAAGGAAGCAATATGTTACGTTCAATTGTACCTGTACGTAACTTAATCGAAAGTGTCTCAGGGTTCAAACTTTGGTCCTTTATTGTTTACCTTATTTATTGATGATATTGCGCATCATTTATGTTGTAATAAGCTTGCATTTGAGGATGATTTAGGATTATTCAGGATTATTGATTCTGGGGCTGATTGTATTGCACTTCATCGAGATATTGATCCTTTAGTAGCTTGGTGTGTCAAAAATAATGTATTCCTTAATGCGGCCAAGAGT